GTGTGTGTGTGTGTGTGTGTGTGTGTGTGTGTGTGTGTGCAGGAAACCGGGTGTTACTGCACCCAGTCTGCACACTAACCTTCTCTTCTTATCGTTGAAGAAAAACCGTTACGTGCACTGACCTTTTATTTATTATTTTTAAAGCTCAATTCAGTTCATGTTGAACAGAGTCGCTCTCATGTTTGATCCCCGTGAAGTCGTGACTGCGTCGCTTCATCTCCATGTTCGGTTTCAACCGCCATCAATTTCAATCCCCGTCGTTATCGCAGCTCTCAAGCTCGTCTGTTGACGGAGCTGTGGAAGGAGCAGCTGAGAGAAACACTGAAAATGACTGGAATGGTTTGTTTGTGTGAGATGTCTCCGTCTGATAATATTGTTTGACCTCAGTTTGAAGGACCAGTGACGACTCACACACTTAACTCTGTGAGAGAGGCAGCTCTCTACAGGTGTGTGTGTGTGTGTGTGTGTGTTACATGTCCTGATAAATCACTTTTGAAGTATAAACCAAAAGTTCCAGAGTTTGAACACTTGTGATCGGATCTCACTTCCCCTTCGATATGTAAATAAACACGTTTGTCATTTCTGTTCACAAACACTGTTGTTATGACAGATTCAGGTTCATTGTGTTGCACAAACCTCGACAAAATAATTTAAAAAATATAAAAATAACTCATCAGAGAAAGTAAAATCTCATTTTGTGTGTTTTTGTGTGTGTGTGTGTGTGTGTGTGTGTGTGTGTGTGTTGTGTCAGGGCCGTCAGCGGTGAGCGGCCTGGCAGTGACCTCCAGGACCTGCAGCAGCCTGGGACTTTCCTGGCAGGCCGGCCCCGGCAGGACGCAGCGCTTCAGGCTGCAGCTGTGGGAGCGAGCTCAGGGTCCCGACCACTCAGGTGAAACCTTCGAACGTCCTCGTAATTCTGTCATGTGACTGTTTGTTTACCTGGCTCTTGTTTCTGCAGGGCTGGTGAAGAACGAGACGTTGGAGAGCACGACCACACAACACGCGCTCGTTGGACTGACGCCGGGACGACTGTACAACGTTACCATGGTAACAGAGGCTGGAGATCTGCAGAGCAGCAGGACGATCGAGGCCCAGACAGGTACAGAGAGAGAGAGAGAAGAGAAGAGAAATAAACAAATGGATTTTATATCTGAGTCATCGTCCTTCCAGCTCCTGCTCCCGTGTCCAACCTCACCGGCGTCGTCCACAACAACACAAGCTTTTTGTTGTCATGGCAACGGCCCAGAGGCGACCTGGAGGCTGTCGTCGTCACCGTCTCGACCAACGGGACGAGCTTCTGGGAGACGACACTTCCACCAAACGCCACAGAGGTCGCCACAGACCAGCTGACTCCCGGCTCGACCTATCGGGTCACAGCCGTGTCGAGGAGCGGGGAGCTGACGAGCCAATCAGAAATCAACATCAGCTCTGGTGAGTCGTCGTTGTTTTCATCCCTGTTCTGTTATTTTCTCGTCTTTTCTTCATCGTGTCTTTTTCTCTTCTCCAGCTCCGGCAGCGGTCTCCTTCCTCTCGCTGTCTCCCGCCTCTTCCTCCGAGGGCCTCGTCCTGCACTGGACGCCCCCTCTTGGCCACTGGGAGAGTTACAGGCTGTTCCTGTTCGACGGCCTCCAGCAGTTAGTCGACACCAGCGCGGACAGAGAGGCGGAGAAGTTCATCTTCCCAGGGACGGATCTAACACCTGGGAGGACGTACAGAGCTGTGCTGAGGGTGGAGAGCGGAGGACTGTGGGCTGAGAGCAGCTGTGAAGGAACAACAGGTGAAAGATTCATTAATATATCGTTATATTACTGAAAAAATATAT